GCCACCGATGTTGGAGGGTTGATGAGCAAACAAGGGGCGAGCTGGCAGACGTGAATCCCGACAGACTAGCAGCAGTGTGCAAAAGTACTAGCTGCCACTAATGGGGGAATAAGTTGAGTGCAAACGGAAATGCGACCCCCCGGCGGATGCTAACAGAGACGAGTGAGTCGTTCGTGTCGGAGATGGCAGGAGGTTCGTTCCGGAAACACAAAACCATGAGCGATGACTGCATCAGGCCAGCGGCTCCTCCGCTCAGTGCCGTCTAGGTCCCATGGCGCATTCGGACCTGCTAGCCAACCATACATGTGGGGGGGGGGGGGGGTAGACGCTGAGCTTTCCGTAGGCCGCCACGGACACATCCAGAACAACAATCTCCTCAAAGAATAATAATACAGGACACGCACTCATTTCTCTTTCATTCAATTTTACCAAGCCCCCATGATTTTCCCTCCTGCGCGAAAGCAGTTGAAAACACGAAAGTTGCAAGTTGTGTCATTCTGCCGGCGACAACCACACGACGTATGTGCTGTATTGTGTAATTATATTATTATAAATGTGCTATTAAATTACGGCAGAGATCACACACGGCAGAGACGACAACAGTTTTGGATTATTGGTATTGATCGGGGTGACGTTACTGAATTGTCAAAATAATAATGATAATTGCAGATTTTACAATAGAAATAGAAAATGACATAATAATAATCTCGCAATTGGCATCAACATAAAATCAATTTTAGTTTATGCTAAAAATCTAATGCTCTATGGATTATTTAACAGACACAGTGAATTGCAAGATGTTATTGATGAAGTCTACAAGTTGTGCACTAAAAAAACGCACAGTTTCACCCGTTTCATAAGCTGTGACATGTAAAAATGATTTTTACACACGGAAGAAGGAAAAAGTAAACCTATACTGGCTTCTATATAAGTCGAAAAAGTTAGCTAGGTCCAAAAATTTCGGACCTAAGGAAAATGAAAAGGTCCAATCATCGACATGCCCTACACAGTGATTAAATCGGAGAAGTTGAAGTTAACTTAAGCACCGCAACCGAGAGCGCATTTTACGAACTATTTTTTGCTAGAGGAATCATATCGATAACAGCCGTAAGCCAACCTCTTGATCAAATGCTTGGCAACGAAAAGGTTCAGTTGAAGATTTAAGGGCCGCTGTAAAACTGCAGTTAGACCTTTTCTAGCGCACTTCTATAAAGAACAATGCATTGATATATAGCTTTATCGTTACTTTACGTGAATTCGTTTAAAGGCTTATGTATTATATTATGTAGAGCAAATTTCATTGCAAATAAGAGCCCCGTACTCGTACGTTTTGGCTTTGGCTTTACAAGAGGGAGCTGACCTGTAAGTTCCTGTACAGCCTTAAATCAGCTAACGCTATTTTCAGTGATAGAGGTACAATCGAACTGTACATCTTAGTTTATTTGATGAGTACCTATTAAATGCAAGGTCAGCCGAAGCCGCTACACCTACATCGAGCCGATTTTTTAAGTCAATAACCAGGCAGATACAAACGTTTTTTTGAATAAATATCGATATGAGATCGAACATTCTATGAAGTGGATAAGCCGTAAAAAAATATTGTTAAAAAAAAGGTGTCCGTACTTGTATACAAAGTACGTTAATCACATTGTCCCTGTGAAACTACTAGGCAGTTGACAATGATATCTACGTAGTGCAGAGCGACTTGTCGACAGACAATCCTTGCCAATGCTGAAATGTATTACCGATCATTTCATACACATAATCGACACATAGCAGCTGATCACCCCCAATAACTACTGAAATGCTAAGAACCGAGAACAAGAGTTTACTGAAATGAAAATACAAAGATGGAAATAGTAGAAATATGGCAAAAAACATTATAGAAGAAGGATAGAGAATCGTATCTCAGACACGTATTTAGCACGGTTTTACTATTCGACTGATGTTGCATAGTTTGGCATGAACCCAGTTCAGCTTGCTCGGAGATTGGAAGTCGGCATTCGAAGTTCGGCTTTGTGGTGCGTGTGGCGAAAACATGGGACAGAATGAAGAGTCTCAACTGGGCGGAGTCCACGGGTCAGTGTTAGGATGAGCATCAGCACACCGTACACCCATAAGTGACCCATAAAGTGATAAGATGGTGTCTAAAAAAGAATGCCAGCCAACATAAGCGACCAAACTTCTATTTTTCAGATGTATATCCATATTTTACATTACGTCCCTATGTAATTCTATATGCTGTAGTCGAGGCATGCCAAAATAGTTATGCGTGTCACTTGTCAGTACCCCAGTGGATTCTGCAACGTCCCATCAAAACTATGAAACCAAAAAGTGTTGTATCAATGAAACGAAGTCCATAGCTTCCTTCAGAAACTAATCTCAGAGCAACTGTTTCTTTTATTTAATCACTTTTATACTGTCGCGCGCGCATCGTATTGCAATTCGACGATAATTTCAGATCGGTATTCGCTCAACTATTAGTAACTTCAACTAGATCACTTCCGAACAGGTGAGATAATGGTACCACTCGCCATCTCCTTCGTACAACCTATCCGCGTGTACGTGCAGGAATACGAATAAGTGCATGTATGTTCGACGGCACTAGTGCTGCGTCGGCAGTTGTTGCTGGCCGTACGATGTGTTCTGCCTTTAAAGCACTCCCACCTGTTAGCAGCAGTTGAAAACAGCATTTCCGTACTTACGCACGCCATACCATAGACAGTAGACAGCTCTGCCGGTGCCCCGAAGTAGAAGGAAGAAAGGGACACAGAGAAACACCCTAAACCATTTTGGACCTACACGTCCAAATGGCAGCTGAAGACACCTAAACGATGGGCCCTAGTACCATTCTCACCTAATCCACTGCTAAGCAGGGCAGCTTTATAGTAGCAAAAACCTATTGAATATCTTTTATTGAATAGGAAAGAAAAAATCAGAGGGAAAAGGAATGTAAACAGGAATACAAGAACAAGTTCTCATTTGGTCAATTGTGCTCAATTTGAGATTGTGCAGCTAATACTTAGGTAAATATTCTTTTTTGTTCTGCGGATTAAGCTAGCTGAAACAGGTAACGTATATATATATATATATATATATATATTGATCATATTACGCAGTGTCAGAACACGCGTTGCTTTCAACACATAATTATTGAAATTATGTTATAATACCACTACTTTCGTTATAGTGCCCTGTACAGATAGAGCTCTTATAGCCAGGGACGTTTCTAAACGATGGCAGAGATAACCTAGTTATACTTATAAATAAGCCAGCCTTATCGGTTTAAAGCCATATTCTTAACAAAGGATGGAAATCAAGATCATTTACACAATAGGACCCTTACTTTGCATTCGATCAGTCAGAGCCAGTTATATGCTCTCGTGAGCACATATCTAGAAACAGCTAAACATTCGCTCGCGACTGTGTAAAAAATATGCAGAAAAACCAAAAAGTCACACACTGTTAATGATATAACACTTCGCATCACTAGCATTTGTTCAAGAACAATATTAACCCTCGCACTAATCCTAGTAGAAATCGCGTAGGCACTAATTTAATCAAGGTCTCGAAAGAAAAAACCTTCTTAGTTAGGTATTCAGGACAAGGCAGAGGTTGTTCTCGGCCACGATGGCTTCACTACTGACATCAGTCGCCTAAAACGACCTTCATTACATGTCATTGTTACTGTTTATAAGCTTGGTACGGCACTTATGTGCGCCAAACGTCCTACCAGTGCGAGAGCTTATTATATAGCGTTTATGACTTCACATCTCGGCAATGCTTTATATAAGTACAATGCTTACGATTATACAATACTAATAACCTGTATGATACAGTCTTTTCACAGATTTTATCCACGTCAACGCAGCTGTAAGGGAAAGTGACTGTATAAAACAGTAAACTCGCATATTTACACAAAGGGGTCTCAGATACCATGTTTAGGCACCAATCACTGAACTGCTAAAGCGTCAAACAGAATGCTTACTAGGGTCTCATTGAGCAGAATCCGTGGGTTCGTTTAGGACGCAGACGTATCGATGAAACAAAAAAAACTTTCGATTCGGTCTTGTTTAGGATAAATCTGAACAAGCATCAAAGGTTATGAGATTGCTACGCTCGTAAGCTTGCTTTCAGAGCTATTTTTCTATTGTTGTTAAGTATTGTTTGGCAATCTCTCCACTTTTCTGCAACGCTTGCCGTAAATTCGTCAATCGCCCTTGAGCTACCTTAGTTGTACTTTCGCGCAAGCTGAAACGCTAACAAATTTCCGTACTGGACATCTACGAACTGCTATATAAATATTTCAATAAACTGAGTACCGTTTTTCGATCGAACCTGATTTTTCGACATACTTTCAAGATTCCGTACTTCATGCCACAAAAGTTACTTTTTGTAGGTTTTCAGCAGACACAGCGGCCTCATTTCTCAGTTGATTTCAGATCCTCATGCGAAGTCCGCTCTAATCCTATTAATTCATTACTCTGTCCACTATTAAAGCACACAAAACACTTACGGAAGAGCTTTGGTAAAGTCGGAACAAATCATTAAACTTGGCTGAGTTCTTTCAAATGTAAAATAAAATTCAGAAATGACTACCGGTAAGTTCGTCTTACTTCTAGCCAGGTATACAATGTCATATATGTTTCCTGGACGTCGAGCGGCTTATATTTTCTGTACATGCTGTATGCGTCCAAACATTTCGTTCGCGAAAAGAGAGACATCTTGTTTTTCTTCATGCGTATTACGAGAGATGAAGATTAGCACCATCCAGTCTATTACTCAGCGAAAGCTGACCAGAATTTATCTTTGTTAGTAGTTAAGTAATATGCTAATAGCCATTTATCTGATATTTTCGAGATACCTTGTTGTTGTTTTTCAATAATTGCCATTTTCAGTTTTCGTAATCGTTGTTATTATAATTGTCTGGAATATTTTTATACCTGCTCCATATCCGTAATTTCATTTCGACAGTAACAGTTGTCCGAGTGCCACTACTGAAAAGTCTGAGGAGCACAGTCTTCAGAATGTTGCAGAAGTTTGCTTGTCTGTTCAGCACAAGTCCTAGCAAGTATTCGGCGTGTCTAACACAACGAGAAAGTTAGGGCAATCTTGGCACTAGTTATTCTAAAGGATATCGTCGAAAGAGACAGATCTACTTGAGGTACAGTTGTATATATTCATCACCCATAATAGGCCTGAATAGCAGAACCCGAAAATGTTGGCGCACCGTTGTAACGAACGAATGGCGAAGATGCTCCTGGTAATTTTTAATGTTGCTTTCCTGGTGTGCGGTCTAGGCATTCTCCTGGTGGGTCTGATCGATATCCGATACGAACGGTCGATTAGAGAGATACTCGATGGCTTCTCTGGAATAAACATAGCGCTGTTTGCTACTGGAGGGTTTATTTGTCTGGTATCATCTGTAGGATGTTGTGGTGCCCTAGCGGAAAATACCTCCTTGATCACAGTATACGTATATGGTGTGATCTTCCTGATCTTTGTTCAGCTGGCCATTGGTGTGGTAGCGTTCTACAAGCGGAACGACCTCAAGCAATACGTTAAAAGCAAAGCACTTGAGTCGCTGGACCATATCAAAGATAATCGTGTTATTGCGACTGCCTGGGACGAGCTTCAGCTGGCCTTTTCATGTTGTGGAGCTATTTCGCCGTTGGATTATACCGTTAGATTTCTTCCGTTTCCGGCGTCGTGCTGCGGTCTGCAATCGGGCCAAGGATGCTATGTCACAACGGAAGGATTTCAGTTTGTAGGTTGTGAACATATAATCGAGCAATTCCTCAGGACGCAGTATCTCTTTTTAGGAACGGTCACAATACTTATAGCGTTTATAGAAGTGTTGGGGATCGTCTATGCGTGTTGCCTTCAAATTGCCGTCGAAAAAAGTGACAAACCATCAAGTATTGCGAATTCTTCCGAATCTTGACCGCGGACGTCGGTTAAACAGGTCCCAGGCTAGGTTCAGGGAAATAACTAGATTGTTATAAGGTTGAACCGTGTTTACCTGCGAATGGCAGGCTGTTTTTGAAATTATGTGATGACGATTGTATTAGGTAAATGTGAATCTCGTAGAAATGGATTAAGTTGTTCCCATTCGTGTGTGTTCTTTACGATGAGACCCGTGCGTTTAGCAGAATAAAGTGCATATTATACATGACAATGAGATTCGTTACATATATACGTATTGTATAAGAAGACAATGAGCTGAAGGATCAAACTCACAATTTAACTTGTTTTTACCCTCAGGATCAGGCTGGGATCGGAATCAGCATCGGCCCTATAAGCAACAGTGCTGTAGATGCGCAATAGACAATGCTTACATGTATTATACATATATGTGTACGTATATATAGATAATATGTGAAGTACGTGTGTATACTTCGGAAGCGTAATGGTGCTCGCCTACTAGATTTACGGCCACGTGCGAAGACAGGTTCGAATCCGGACGTAGAGGTACTTACTTTCATGCCGACAGAGGCCATTCATCTGAACCTACGGTTAACAACAGTACCGGACGCCGAGTTCGGAATACTTTAGTACATATCTATAAACCAATAATATGCTCTGTGCACTTTGCCAAAACATATGAGAATCGTCGAAATGTGGTTTTATAGGATCAACGTGACTTCTATACCACACCCAGGACAAAAATACATTTTGATGAAACATAAAATACCTCATTTGGCTTTCAGATTTCTGATGCATGGTTTAAGTTCAGATCTACGGAACGTCAATGATCGTGAAAAAAATCACTAAAATTTACCAACGGTTTCGACAGATCAACGGGCCAATCACAGAGGAGTAATATTCGCGTTGTCCTTTCTCTTGCATACTGAGTTTCCTCCTGTGTCATGCAGAATTAATACAACTCGCGCCAATGACCATGAGCTGTTGAGTAAGTAGTGATTCGACAAGAGTCATACTCACTCTTTTATTACTGAATTTTTTTTTGTTTATATTCTAGAGCCGGAACTTACCTTCCCCAACATAGTCCCTTCGGTCATATCTGTAGAGGCTGTTGCGTTTCCTGAATAACGTTATTCAATACTACAATTTTACCCTTAGCAAGCAAATTCACGGTCACGGACTTTTAATAAGTGATGTTTACCACTTATCGAAGAAGGACAAGCTGAGGCGTGTCGATCGATCTACTTTACATTGTTCTCGCTTATTTCACCAAAAAGACTTATCAATTTTGGCAAAAACAATAGCTCAGATTGTAAAGGTATGAGTGAAATAATCGTGACGAACTGCTGAGTGGTCCTTGCGTGCTTAGATTTGTTGATGTATGTTTGTCAACAGATACTTTTTTCATCTTATCCGGAGTCTTGGAAAGGGATTGAAGCGAAGCTGCACAACAAAAGCTTTTAGGCCTATAACAGAATTAAGATAGTCTTAAAATTATTTCGATATCGTATAAGATTTCTTTAAAGCACCTTGTTGTTTTCGCTGTTTTTGTCTGTGATAATCGCCGAGCTTACCACAGACCCTGCAAATCCTTCATCTATTGAAATGTATACGAAGTGTCGGCGAGCATTGCATGCTGTGGAAAATAGTTTTTGCTAACGGCGCTTTGATAAACGTGGCGGGATGCTAAAGTTGACGGAAATTAGCTTTAACCTAATTTAAGGACTAATAGGGTCGGGAACAATGATGCAGCACTGTAGCAGCAAGGTTGCTCAAACACTTTTGGTGGTCTTTAATGCCATTTTTCTATTTTGTGGAACCGCCATTGTAACCCTGGGCTTTATTGATGTCGAACACGAACGTTCGGTGAAGCAAATACTTGATGACGTTTCCGGAATAAACGCAGCACTCGTGACAACAGGTGCCTTTGTCTGTCTATTGTCGTCCATGGGATGTTGCGATGCTTTAACTAAGAGCAATTGTATGATTAGAACGTATCTGTTAGCCGTCGTCTTCGTTATTATTTTACAGGTGGCTGTGGGTTCAATTGTAATCTACAAGGGGGACGATCTCAAGACCTTTGTTAGACTGAAAGCAAAAGAGACGCTAAAGCAGAGGCGTGATAACCACATTATTGCAGGCGCCTGGGACGATATACAAACAACGTTTGGGTGTTGTGGAGCTGACTTGCCGTCGGACTATCCGCCTATGCACTTGCCTTAGCTCGTCTCATGTTGTGATCTCGAAGGCGATCATATATGCGAACCCGAAACTGGTAGATTTCATAAGCGCGGCTGTTCGGTTGAAACTGAGAAACTTCTAACGGGTCAATACATCTATTGGGGAATAGGCGCAATTGTTATCGCAGCGATTGAAGTGCTTGGGCTTATCTACGCGTGCTGTCTTCAAAGCGCCATTGAAGAGAGTCAAACCCTAACGGCGTAATTTGAGGGAAGCCATGAAGCGTCACTTCAGAAATTCGTTGACTTGGACAGAATGCTTAAACCTCAGTGGTGAACTCACACAGCTATTTAGATGTTTTATTTTAGGCATTAAGGTGCATTAGCCTCATTTGTCGCGTCGTAACAAATGTGAGTTATTTCATGGCAAGTCGTACGATCCAGAAAATATACTTAGAGGCGATCTAGGTCTAAAAATATACCCTTCAAGTTTGTTTATTTTCTGATGCATAATTACCTGGAAACAAACATCATGGTGTATTTGTTTATAAAAAAAAACCACCGTATTTTGTGAGCTCCGTCCTCTAGTTATTGAATGTTTACTTATATATATATACATATATTTATTTTTGTTAATTATAATATA